AAAGTCCTGGAAAGGGCTAGAGGGCTGCAAAAGGAAGTAAAATGGGGGTAAGAGTAGGACAAGTGCCCTGCAAACAAATGTGGATAGGGAAATAACGTAAAATAACATAAATAAGCAGCCGCTTAGTAGATAACTCCCCAATTCCCACGGTATTAGGAAGCTATCTACCAAACCTAAATTGGTCTTTCAGCCACATTTACTAATACTAAGTAAAGATCACTTAGTATTTGTAAATTCAGCCCCTACTCGCTATACCGCGAGTAGGAGCGCGTCTAGTAAACAGTGAGCAGCCAGTGGTCTGAGCGGTGGGTGGAGGCCCTAAATTTAGAATAAGGAGGGGGGACCTGTTGTCCTCCCCCCCGGCCCCCACCCCCGAGTGGTGGGTGGGGGCCCTAAGTTAGAATAAGGGTGGGGACCTATTGTCCTTCCCCCTGGCCCCCACCCCTGGGCGGTGGGTGTGGGCCCTAAATAAAAATTTAACCCCCCCGTCACGCCCCTCTCCCCAAAAAATAACCCCTGCCTACCCACTCATCCTAAAAATAATGAGGGGTGACCATAAGCTAGATACCTGAAAAAAAAATAAACTTACCATTAGATGTCCTCTTTCTTCTAAAATCTTATTTTTTCAGCCCCCAAAAAGGCCAAATAAAAATCCATAATAACCGACGCAATTAAAAAAAAAAAAAAACGTGCGCAAAAAAAAAATCCATGTTCATCTGGAGGGCTCCGCACAGACTGAGCTGTGCAGGGCGGGGGAAGGCCCTGCAATTAGGCTCGGAGCACTCTGATTGGTGGGTTTAAGCCATCCAATCAGAGTGCTCTGACAGGTAAATGAAGAGACTGATAGGTAAGTTTCTAAATTTACCTGTCACAACACTCTGGTTAGCTTGAAATCCACCATCAGAGTGATCTGTGTCATTTTACACAACGTGGGAAAGTTCTTTGGAATTTTCCCACGCTGTGTAATTTGACTCATAACAACACTCTGATTGGTGGATTGAAAGTAACCAATCAGAGTGCTCTGTGTCATTTTACACTGCGTTGGAAAATTCCAAAGAACTTTCTCACGCTGTGTAAAAAATTTTTTCAAGCTAACCAATCAGAGTGCTTTGTGTCATTTTACACAGCGTGGGAATAGCGAGTAGGGGCTGAATTTACTAATACTATGTAACTTTTACTTAGTATTAGTAAATGTGGCTGAAAGACCAATTCAGGTCTTTCAGCCTTTTGGTAGATAGCTCACATTCTGCACTGGCCAGTTACAGCCATGCCATTAGTAGGCATGGCTGTGATGGCTTCTAAGGGCACACAAGTCAAACGCTTGTTGATTGGCTGCCCTGCAGCCTTTCAAAACGCGCCATTAAATCACCGAACACCGAACGCCAACCCGAACATACAGTGAAATGTCCGTGTTCGGGTCCAGGGTCCAAAAACCGTAATGTTCGCTCAACTCTACTTCTCCAGTCTCTAGTCTTTAGAAAATACAACTGATGATCCTTTGACAGCTCTATTTAGTACAAGCAATTTGGCAGTTCAAACACCACTAGATGGCCTCACATTGATCATTAATTTCTTAGTATGACAGACATTAGCTTTATCATAACTGGCCATTCTCTAAATTATTAATGTTATATGCCATAAATATGGGATTTTAAAGAACAAGAGTGCAATTGTGACAAAGCTCCCTGTACTCGGGCTGGGTCCCTCCACCAAGCTTGCTTCCTAGCTGGAACCGGAAAACCTGAAGTGCTTCTGCCCCAGTCGCCGCAATTCATATCAGAAAACATACAGGAACTTATAATAACATAACAACATATTTATAAAGGGGCGAGAAAGACAATAATTAACATAAAATATCTCTCCTGTCTGCAGAATTATCAATATGCAAATCTACTTGAATATGCAAATTAACAAGCCTTGCTATTCAGGTAGTGCAAATAGCTGTTGCTACCAACAGAGGGTGCTGTACAGGCTCCATAGCCAAAACCACCTAGTTGGTAGCAAGCATCAGCAGGACAGGAGAGCACTCAAAATAACAATAAATACATAATACACACCGTGCACCTATAATGGGCACAGGGTGACTTAGACATAGAAGTAGTCAAAGGTTCTACATAAAATGTTCATCTGAAACTTCTGGTGATGGTGACTACCATCACAATAAGATTTTAAAGAACAAGAGTGCATTAAAGTGGCTCTGTCACCTTTGTTTTTTTTTTGTTTGTTTTTTAAAGACCATCTGATGGTAACATTTAGTAACCATTTCATGTGCAAGGGCCCGCGGTTTCAGTGGAAGTGCGTTATACATACCTGATGTTGTCATACTTTGTGCAGAGCATGTGCTATATTGTTCATGTACTGTTTTGTGGCACGTTTGAAGGAACCTTGGCAACTATTTATTTATTCTTTTTGTACAAGATGTCCTCCATTAAAGGTGATAAAGGTGCAATGAATAACTGGTGATTATTCCAGGAAAAAGTGTTACTTACCGTTACATTAACGATTAGATATCACACAGAAGAATAAAACATCTTTTCTGCTAAAAGCAAATTCTATATTATCACAAAGCATTCGTGTAAATCACAGCTTGCCTGTGCCCTTTTGATTACAGAGTGGTGAAAACAGATGCCTTGCCAAATTATCAATTGGAAGCACATGTTGTCCTTCAGCAAGGGTAAAGACTGTGAAGTGCATAATGATGATGTATGTGTGCAGAATTGTTTTTTGTTGACTTTTTGTGTAATTGAAACAAGCAACTTAGTCAAGGTGTGTGAATTATTTAAACAGGTCTTATTAAGTCATTAAATCAGTATGGTTTTTATCAATTAGGCAAATAGCTAGAAAATAAATTAAAATTTGGAAGGGCATCTATACAAGGTTTTACCTGCATATTGACTTGCTTGTGAATATGTTATCATTTGGATGTTTTCAAATTTGTATGTTTGTTGATATGGAAATAACTAACACAGTGATC